GGCATGCAACCGCACACAATAATACTTCGCCATGAAGATCTTCACCTTGTCCTGTAATTTTGTTGAGACTTTAAGTATTTACCGAGTTGAAAGGGAGAATAGCAGCAAAAAAGTATGGTTTTGGGTAGTCATACTTACATTGTGATTTTTTTCTACAAAGTCGACAACCAGCTTTCCAATTGGGAGAGTCAGAGCACACATAACCTGAAGAAGCCATGGTAATAAACAAATTGAAATTTATTTGTGATGTAGCAAATATTGGGAGCCATTGCACATGCCTTATTGGAAATAATTGTATAAAATTTGGCAGATGTATGTCCGTAGGTGAAATTATAGTGTGCTCTTTAATTATTTTGTATGCAAGTGAGTTTACACGCATGAGTGCATTGATATTTATTCATGAAAACTTTGTGCGGGATGTCAACTCCCTTGGGTTTGAAACCACGTATAAATTGAAGCATATCAAAACTCTGATGCCCTTTTATGGAAGTGAGAATCATGCTTTTTAGATAATGTAGGATGAGTGTGAGTTCTTAAACACATTTTACACTAAGGGCATCTCCAACAACTTCTCTAAAATTTTCTTCAAAATGGGGAAACAAAAGTCATATTCTCCAAAATTTTTTTACACCAACTCCAACAGCTTCCCCATTTTGAAGAATCCCTTTTTTTCTCCAAAAATTTGGAGAATACTGCAGATTTGGGGAAGCTTCCCTATTTTTTCTCCTCCATCCCTATTTTGGGGAATGAGATGGGGAATCTGTTGGACCAAAAACCTAACTAAATTCTTCAAAAGTGGGAAATGGGAAAGCTGTTAGAGATGCTCTAAGCAAACATATTTTAGTGTGAAATTCAAATTAAAATTGTTATTAATGAGGACAAGAAATGACAATATTTGATTAGTTGATATATTTTTGAATTTTAAAATTTAAATTTTGAAATTTGAAATTTGAAATTTGAAATTTGAAATTTGAAATTTGAAATTTGAAATTTAGTTTAATTTTAGTTGAGTGATTTGAGGGATTGTTGTTTGTTTCTATTTTTATTGCACGTTGTGTGCACGTAGTTTTTTTTATAAATAAGGTTGTATGAGACTATTGAAAATCAATGAATTATTGAAGAATGAAATGAAAAATTGCATTGGCTTAATTTGGTGTGAAACCGATGGGTGTGAAACCCTAGGCTCGTGCTTGTCGTTTCTTTCCTCAGCCGCCACACAAACACCGTTTCTCTTCTCTGTTCATCGTCTTCAACCTCTCTTCTTACTCCAAATCACCACCACCAGCCACTTCCCCTCCTCCTTCCCTGGCTTCTCCACCCGCAGACAGCCCCGTCACCAGACCCCCGCCTCCAACTTCAACAACCACAGCCTCTTCCCCACCCTCTTCTCCTTCAAGCAACGCCGCCGACGTCCTATTTTCCTCCACCTCCGAACGACTACGTCGCCCGCGTCGTCTCGCTACCTCGTCGACATCAGATTCCCTTTCGTCGACGACCATCACCGTCCTTCTTCGTCCTCGGACGTCATTCGCACCTCTCGTCATCGCTCGCGTCGTCGTCGGATCTCGCGCTCTTTCGTCGTTCTTCCTCATCGTTGAACAAACCCGCCGATCGTTTCGCCTTTCTCCGCCAGATTTCAGATCAAAGAACTCGTAGAGAAAGGAGACCCTCCCGAAGTCGCTAATTCCTTTTTTTTCAGATCCAAGCAAAGCATAGCAGGTTAACAAGACAAACTATTTTTTCACGTGAGTGGACTTGTGGATTTTATGGGCTTTGGGCTTCACTGTAGAAGCTAATGGGTCTTGGATTTCTTTCAACAGTTTTAAATAGTGATCTAATGAGGTTTCGCTTCTCTCAACTTAGTATTTTTCTGTTGATTTTAATTTATTAGTTAATTGCATGAGTATTACATCTCTAAATTCTTATCATATATTCACTGCTTAAACTAAATCTGTGAGTTGAGAGTAATTGAACATGTGACTGCTGAAATTTGATATTGATTGTAGAACTTGCGCAACGATAATGAATATTGTGATTAAATTATTCGAGATTAGAATTGTTCATGACTATCGTTGCAAATCTGATTAAAATCCATCTGTCGCGTTAATTGTTTTAATTATTTTCCTACCGAAGATCATGAATTTTGGCGAAACAGTGTGTTGTTTAAATTAAATCGCTGATTCTGATAGACTCCCTCTCCTGTTTCGCATCATTTTTAGTATCAGAGCCAGGTTCTAGGTTAGGAAATTTTTATGCTTAATCACATTTAGCTGGTAGTGCATCCCACTCATCCCAGTTAATTGTTAGTGCATGCCTAATCATACAGATCTACCTTAGGTGAGTCAAGTCAATCAATTAGTGAGTCTAGCATGTCTTCTGAATTTCTTAAGAAATTCGATGAGGTAAAAAGACAAATAGGTGTCGTAGTCCAGAGCTTAACAAATTTCTAGAATGAAACCAACGAAATGTTTGCTAGGTTTGAAGGAGCGCGTGCTGCAACTCCGTCGCCACAAAGTCAAGGCTATGGATACCCACCGCAAGGTCATGGATACGTCGTTCATCGACCCCTACCTCAACCAGTTTCTAATCCACCAACCTTTGACGGTAAGCTCGGCTCACAAACTTTCTTGAATTGGCTGATGAACATGGATCGATACTTTGACTGGTAAGCCATGACGGAACCACGAAAAGTCAAGTTTGCGACAATGAAACTCACCCAACCAGCCTGCCAATATTGGTCCAAATTCAAAACATTAAGGTATATTAGTGGTGAGTTACCAATTTTAACTTGGCAAGAAATGGCTGACAAACTAAAAAAAGAATATCTTCCACCAGTTAAAATTAATAAGCCGCATATGACAGAATCAAAATCTACTCTTGAGAAAATTGTTAATCAGGTTGTAGATTTGATAGAAATTAACTCTGTGAAGGAATTCCAGGATAGTAAAATTAAAAATCCATGCACTTTCGTTTCTTCTGAAACTACCCCTGCAATTGTGGAGTTAATTGAAATTTCATGCAATGACAAAACTCCGGTTCTTTCCCAAGCTACCTCTTTGATCACGGAGTCCACTGATGTTATCCCTGAAGTTGTTCTTGAAATTGAAATTCTAACTCTTTCTGAACCAACTCCAGTGATTGAAAACGTTATTGATATTCCCCACGAAGTCCTTCCGGACAAACATGACACCCAACACGTTCCTGATTTGGCTCTTGAATCGATTCACTCAAACATCTGTATGGAAGTCGAATACCAAACTAAGCATAGTGAAATAACTACCATACTAGATATCCCACCACCATGCATTGTCCTAACAATCACTCACACACACTGATCCATTTTGGGAAATTATAATGATTAGGGATACAAGTTTGAGCACAAGTGTTTTTATTTCTTTTTTCTCACATACTAAGCGCACAAAAACACTCTGTCATACATTTGCTTGCATGTTCCTCACTATCATTGTTAGGACAAGAAATTTTTTATGTGTTTTAACAAAGGAACACCTAATTATTCCATTTGATATAGGACGTCATGCATGTTAGATACTTCGTTGAGTTACATCTGCCATTGACCGTATTTTTTGAGTTTGCATTTCATACATAGTCATTCGAGTTGATTGCATCATTTTGTTTTGATTTGCATTGATCATATATTGGGAATCAGTGATCTAACTAGAATAACTACATTGTTAACTAAAATGAATGATATGGAGTCAGGACATAATTTAAAACTATTAATGCTGATATTTTAGATGGTTTGGACTTGTCCAATACAGTTTCTTTATAGCTGTTTAAGATTTAATATGATATTTATGAGCTTTTCCAACTTTTGAACTAATTAATGGCAACATTTATTGATTTGGTCATAGTTCTATTTTCAATATTGAGTGATTAAACATTTCATAATATTATTGGCAATCCACTGATATAAGCCTGATCCTAACCTATTATTTATGAGAGTTCTTTCACTTTACTCCACTTCTATATATTCATCCATACAGCAGTGAATTTTGATAATATTTTAGATGATGAATTTACAATGCAATCTAGCTAATGATTTGAGATGCAGAAAAAATAACTGACAGCAGATTAAGATGCAGACAGAGTATATTAAAGATGACAAGTTTCTACAGCTAACTCGACGGAGTCGAGTTTTCTCCCACCCGAGGAGAATAATGAAGACAAGAAATGACAATATTTGATTAGTTGATATATTTTTGAATTTTGAATTTTGAAATTTAAATTTTGAATTTTGAAATTTAAATTTTGAATTTTGAATTTTGAATTTTGAATTTTAAAATTTAGTTTAATTTTAGTTGAGTGATTTGAGGGATTGTAGTTTATTTCTATTTTTATTGCACGTTGTGTGCACGTAGTTTTTTTTATAAATAAGGTTGTATGAGACTATTGAAAATCAATGAATTATTGAAGAATGAAATAAAAATTGCATTGGCTTAATTTGGTGTGAAACCGACGGGTGTGAAACCCTAGGCTAGTGCTTGTCGTTTCTTTCCTCAGCCGCCACACAAACACCGTTTCTCTTCTCTGTTCATCGTCTTCATCCTCTATTCTTACTCCAAATCACCACCACCCCTCCTCCTTCCCTGGCTTCTCCACCTGCAGACAGCCCCACCACCAGACCGTCCCGCCCGCCTCCAACTTCAACAACCACAGCCTCTTCCCCACCCTCTTCTCCTTCAAGCAACGCCGCCGACGTCCTATTCTCCTCCACCTCCGAACGACTACGTCGCCCGCGTCGTCCCGCCACCTCGTCGACATCAGATTCCCTTTCGTCGACGACCATCACCGTCCTTCTTCGTCCTCGGACGTCGTTCGCGCCTCTCGTCATCGCTCGCGTCGTCGTCGGATCTCACGCTCTTTCGTCGTTCTTCCTCATCGTCGAACAAACCCGTCGATCGTTTCGCCTTTCTCCGCCAGATTTTAGATCAAAGAACTCATAGAGAAAGGAGACCCTCCCGAAGTCGCTAATTTCTTTTTTTTTCAGATCCAAGCAAAGCATAGCAGGTTAACAAGGCAAACTATTTTTTCACGTGAGTGGACTTGTGGATTTTATGGGCTTTGGGCTTCACTGTAGAAGCTAATAGGCCTTGGATTTCTTTCAACAGTTTTAAGTAGTGATCTAATGAGGTTTCGCTTCTCTCAACTCAGTATTTTTCTGTTGATTTCAATTTATTAGTTAATTGCATGAGTATTACATCTCTAAATTCTTATCATATATTCACTGCTTAAACTAAATCTGTGAGTTGAGAGTAATTAAACATGTGACTGCTGAAATTTGATATTGATTGTAGAACTTGCGCAACGATAATGAATATTGTGATTAAATTATTCGAGATTAGAATTGTTCATGACTATCGTTGTAAATCTGATTAAAATCCATCTGTCGCGTTAATTGTTTTAATTATTTTCCTACCGAAGATCATGAATTTTGGCGAAACGGTGTGTTGTTTAAATTAAATCGCTGATTCTGATAGACTCCCTCCCCCGTTTCGCATCAGTTATATTTTAACATACCTGGATAATTTCTATGTCGGAGTTTGACAAGATTTATAGAGATTTTGTTTTACCAAATGTTTGCAAGGATACACAGGTGAAAATAAATTCAAAAGGGCTAAATACCCATATTGGTATTTTAATTCAACCCCATTTGCCAACAAGGTATTTTAATTAGGAAATTCGGCGATAAGACATTTTAGTTGAATAAAATTACCATTTAGGTCCTTTTTCTCGTCGGCGGCCACTTTTCCGGCGAGAACTCATCACGTGCATTGCACGTGGGGGCTTAATCTGTGTTTAAGATGCTGATTTGGCTCTATTTTCTGACGTGGCAGGGAATTAACCCTCTAAAAACCAATTCACACCCAAAAGTTGGTGAAGACAGCAAGGTGTAGCGGCGTGTGGCGCTGTCGGGCAGAGCTGGCAGCTGGATGGATCGCCGGTGGCTGCTGGGCTGCCGTCGCTGAGGTGAAGGAGGGGAGGCAGTGATCGGAGATGGAAGGAGGGGAGACTGGGGAGCTCTCGGCAGTTGATTGAGTTTGGGAGGCGGTCGTCGGAGCTCGGGGGTCGCTGGCGGTGATCTGAGGTCGCTGGAGTTCGTCGGAGAGCAGCTGCGGGAGAGCGGCGGACTGGGCGCGGGTCGAGCTCAGGGGGAAGGGCGGCGTTGGGAGAGGAGCTCGAGCTCGTCGGCTTGGGAGATGGGGCGGTGGTGATGGTTGGGCTTGGCCGCGGCGGCGAACTGAGGCGAGCGGCGGCGGACTGGGGCTTGGAGCAGCGGCGAGCGGCGGTGAACTCAGGCGGAGAGAGAGAAAGGACCTAAATCAGCATCTTAAACACAGATTAAGCCCCCACGTGCAACGCACGTGATGAGTTTCGCCGGAAAAGTGGCCGCCGACGAGAAAAAGGACCTAAATGGTAATTTTATTCAATTAAAATGTCTTATCGCCGAATTTCCTAATTAAAATACCTTGTTGGCAAATGGGGTTGAATTAAAATACCAATATGGGTATTTAGCCAATTCAAAAGTCTTTAGTTTTCTTAAATCTCCATTTGGCCTGGAAGTGCAGTAGACAATAAATACTTTTTTTTTTCAATATCATCATTTAGCATCTACTTATTATCCATTTAGCGTATCTTTAAAATGTATTTTTGAACCCCCTAACCCAGATTCAAGGCTATTAAGTAACAGGATAAAACTTCATCCTTTTAGGTTTATTACTAACTCTGACAAATGAATTAGGAAAAACTGTAAATTATTCAGAGTTGTTTTAATATAAAAAATATCAGATTGAGAACGCACCGTGCATGATGGAGGAAGAGATTTGCACAGGCTGAAACCAAACAAGAGAAGATAAAGCATTGTAACTCCACATCTCACAACTTTTGAGCCCGTTTCAGTGCCAAGCCTAACCTGGATCAAGCAGATAAATTATAAAACAAAAACCTTGTGCAACTAATAGATGTACAACCACAAGTAGTGAAAAATACCAGAGGAGACATCTTTCCAACATCTTGGTCTCCATTAATCTGAATGTTACAATAAAACAAGTATAGTGCAATCAATCATGGAGTAGATTGAAGTATGGCAGAGTATAATTAGCACACCTGATGGAAGTGACTACAGAAAAGAATCAAGGTGGTTGTTAATCCAACAAGAACTGATGCGGAGAGAACTGTTCTAGTTAGAGGAAGAGTGCCTATGCCACTGAGAGATTAAGGATTTAGTTCACTGAAAAATAGAAAACAGAAAAAGAAAGGCGGAGGAATTACCTTGATGAGTTTTTGGTGCTGTTAGAAAAATAGAAAGCTGTAGTGGCAAATGGACCGAATGCAGCAAAGCACAATGGTTCTCCTAATCCTTTATAACTCAGTCGAAATGGTGGGCACTGCAAAGAATACAGCCCATACGCTTAAGATCAGCATCCTTCAGAAATGGGGGGAGGGGGGGGCGGGCGAGCTTTAATGCCCTAATTTTATATACCCGATGTTGAGATTTTTGTAGCGCAAATATTCTATTAACAATAATTAAATAATAAAACATCCGAAGATAGCAAAACTATTCTAGCAGCATATTAGTCGTATCAAACAGACAATATCAGCAAGTAAACAGTGTAATAGTAGAACCAATAAGATAATATGAAAACATTATTGAAAACAATAAATAGCAAGCAGATATTACTACCTGATAAACATACCCACAGAGGATAGCACAAGTCACCAATAAAATGAAGCGTAGATCTCCTGCTTCTCTAAATGCCCAGATGAGACCCAAAAATCCAAATGCAAGGGAAATGTTAGCAGCAATTTGTGTCAATCTTCGACTGCAAAAAATGTTCATTAGTGTTGGTGTTTATTCCCGTTCTTAACTAAATAGTCAATCCTCATTTAAAATTTAGATGAAGTTTTCCTACCTGCCAACTATGTTAACAACTGATTCTTTTTTGTCTCTGTCGGCTCCGGTATCAAAATCATATACATCGTTACTGCAGGAACATAATTTAAATAAGTCTTTTCATCAAATGAATAATAAAAAATTGAAAGGGAAAAAAAACAAGTAAAGAGGTTTAATCCATGCTGAACTCACCTCAAATTGAGCCAAGTAATGATAAGAACTGATGAAAGTAAGAGAGTTATATAACGCCTGGTAAAGAATAAACCAGTATGAAGATATGCAGTAGTAAAGCCTACCTGTTTAGGAAACAAAAAGACATTGGAAATAACTGAATTATAACCAGCAAGAAAATAATAGCAAGGTGCAAAACTGATGCACATGACCCAAAGTCATGAAGAAACATCTAATTTAATTTAGAAAGCACATAGAGAATTATAATCACGAGGACAGATATAACAAGAAACAGTAACACAAATGCCATACCACATTTAGTGCTGGAAATACCTCATCCCATATTTGACCAGACAAATAATAAATTTAATATTTTCTAGAGAGCACGCATAATAAGCAAACTGATGCTTTATCGTATTGTCTATAGAGGGGGAAAAAATCCCAAGAGTATTTAAAGTGCGTGACTCAACAGCCACTATCCTGACCTGAATACGACCAAGTCACAAATGACCCCCAGAGTGGATTGTTACTTAGTTCAACTAGAAATATGAAATCACTGCACCTTCTCCGTTGCAGCACGAGGACATGAAAAAAAGTTTAAACCCTGTCTGAACTTGAAGTCTCTGAATTTAAATTGAACAAAGAGGGACATAAATCCATAGTAAAACACCAAAGGGGACATTTATACTAGTTTGTGAGTACTATTTAAGCGAGACACAACGGATGGCGAACTGGACACTTACTCTTCATTGGATGCCATTGTCTACTAATATATTATTGATTTCCAAACTGGATGATAAATAATATGAACTCTGGCTGAAAAAGTTCCAGCTGCCATCCCCCTGAAATTGATATCCACATCATTGGTAAC